ACCCTTTGTTTTTAGCCTGGATTTGGGAAACCAGTACTACAAAATCATCTTTGAAAATTTGAGTAAATGTTCTTTCAATCAAATTTAACTTCAAAGACTAAGTGTGTGTTGCCAGAGACATAACACAAAAATAAACAGTGCAGTGGCTCAGTCTCTTGGCATTGGGACAGAAGGGTCGTCGGTTCACTTCCTGCACAAGTGCCCATGAGCAAGCCACTAAATGAGTTACAACATTTAATTGACATTCCTGAGTTTAATTACATAACGTTTTGTTAATACATTTTGGTTCTGACATGTTTCTGAAATAAGTTGAAAATACTTTTCACCTTTAGATACATGCTCTTCTTTAAAGAGTTAAACATTTTTGTTTAAAACAAAGATAAATAGTTCCAAGATAACTTATCCCTTTAGATACATGTGTTGATGCAAACTGCTTGGCTGTGTTTTCAGAAGAATTGTCATGCTACAAACAAATGTATTTACCAGATTTTCCCTAAAGTTCCTCTCCAAAGCTGTAGGGATTGGCTGTCCAAACCAATTAAAAAGTTCAGCTATTATTGAGATAATTAATGAGTTTAAGGTATTTTCTGGATATAAAGGTCAATAATGGAAAATCCTTAAAGGTACCACAATTTAAAACGCTCAGATTTAGCACACATTCATTTCCAGTTTGTTTTTTATGGGTTCAGGCATTATTTCTTCTTTTTCAATTCAACAACAAAATCACATAACACCTTCAATGTGTCTTTTATTATTGGAAATGTTTGATTATTACATTTTTGTCTTTACACATTAATTTGTGTTGTGCCCAGAGCCCGACTGGTGCTGCGTCATGAAGTCACCGTTCATGTCGCTGATTTTCTCCCCAACGGCGCTCACAACAACAACAATGGGGCACTGCGTCGGGTCGATGGTCGTGTTGCTTTTAATCATACAAAGCCAGATTAAATTAAATAACTACTTCTCAACCCTTATACTTTTCTCCAGAGTGCCGTGGTTCATTATTTATTAATGTGTTTCAGCGGCATTTACTGACCGCTGCAGTGCTGCCCACTGTTTGGCATCACAACGCTGTTATGAAAGTTTATCTGGTATAAAATGGGTGATGTTAGCATAGCAACCAAAGCTAAACTGACTATTTTGACTACTTGTTGCTATCCTATTGTGGCATAAGCCGTTTTCTACAGGCACATACAGTATTACTGGCGTATTTTTAATTGTGATTCTACTTGTGATAGACGGACATGTATTGATTCCATCCGATAACTGCTATAATACAAAAAAAAAAAACGTCTGCCTGCTCTCCACAATGATCAATAACAGCGAACGGATGGTCAAAGTAAGGGACAAATAAACAGAATCACACTGAGCCTGGCAGTGGTTAGTGTTGCCTGACTTTATAGAGTGTGTTTTTTTTAGAAAGTGTGTGCTTGCGTTCTAGTCACTTTGCTCAGCGCTACTGCTTGATACAACTTTTATTTGCCGTTCTCGCCATAAACTGTTGCTCAGGTTGATCTCGCCCCCCTCCGACGTAAGCGTGACGTATGCGGTTCTTGATTGTAGACCGAGAATTTTTTGGTGCTTGTTAAGAACCGGTTTTCGGGGAAAAGAGCCGGCTCCTCTGCGGTGTGAACAGGAAAAAATGGTGCTTATCAGGCTCTAGCTCCGAACCGGCCCTGGAACCGCTTTGGTGCATGTGTGAGTGGTATATTATGTTTTTTTAGTTGTTATTGTGTGCTAGTAGTATAAGTAGCATTGTCATTTTTTTTATTTTGCCCCCAAACTAAAGGCAAGTGACTGTATACTAATGGGCCCCACAGCCAGTGCTTGAATTGGGCCGGTACTCACCGGCACGCAGTACCGGCACTTCTGATTTTTACCCATGTGGTACCAGCACTTCTTACTGTAAGATGCCGGTACTCAGCCGCCGGCACGTCATGGCGCATGTCAACAAATATGCCCAGCGTACCTCAACACGTTCTCACTCCCAACCCGTCACATGTTGACGGACGGTCAGGGCCCCTCCCCGTCACTCTATTACGGACAGGGTACCCCTTGAGAGTCAGTTTTCAACGGGCAGGGCGTCCCATAGACCTTCACAGACCTCCCATAGCGTTGATAATAGACGCCATGAGAACGCTCCCCGAAGGTCGGTTGTTATTGTCAATATTAATATAATAATTTTTTTTTTTTTAATAGTCACCCTCGATTTCGCCGATTTTCTTGTTGCCCCAGCTGGTTGACATGGAATTAATGGACGTGCCGTTGTGCGATTGCGTTGCCAGGCAAACTCTTCAAATACAACCCTAATTATATTTAAAAACATTTTAGAAGGCCTCACGAAATACTTTAACCTGTTAAGCCCGAGAGACCCCGGTACCGGGGCACTGCCGCAACATCTTGCAGGAAACAGTGTCTGAGAGCATGTTCATTTAATAAACTATGAATGTTTTATATCCATGTAACGGGAAGAAACTCATCCCAACTGCACGCCTCGGGACCCTGACCAAGCGTCGCTCCTGGACGTTTATGGAGTGAGAGTGTGTTGGTAACAAATGTAATTTCCCCTCCGTGGGAAGAATAAATTGTCTCACTGATTTGTATATTAGTGACAAACTTAAGGATGGAGTGTTAACGCCTTCTTATATCAACCTTTTCCTGCACTATCAGACGTCAGAAAACCTTTCGTCATACCACTGTGGGGAATTTTACACCTTTTCTTTAGGATTAATTGTATTTTTACACATATACCTCGAATGATGTCAGTAAAGCATTACTCATTTATTATCAGCTTTATTTCATGATCACTGAGCAACACATTATTCACAATCTCTACATAATTATCATTGTCTGTGGTGCAGTCACAGTGATTACCTGAAAAACATGCATGCACTCCACACGTTTCTTACATCACTGAGATAAATGACCCATTAAACCACAACACCCAGATTCCAGAAAGATGCCATATATGGACTTTATGTTCTATGGTAAACAAAACAAGTATTAATATCACATATGTTGAATGGAGTGTGATTGGCTGGAAGTTACAGATATTGCACACCTTGCACCACTTTATATGTCCACTATGTGGTGCTGGAGAAACACTATTAACAAACAGAATGTCACTAAACATCAATTGTAGACCACACATTGTTATTATCATGATGTTTGTCACATGGGACTGACTACCTGTTGCCTTTAGGTGGTGCTATGACTTATCAAGCACTCAACATTGGTAGTTTGGAGACTGTACAATGAAGTTACAACAACTTCCTGTTTCATGGTGAGTCTATGGCTCTCATAGTTATGGAGTTAAAAAGGTACTGGACAATAGTTAAGTTAAATATACCTGTTAATACCTGATAGATATTGTACATCTACAGGTGAAATGAAGCGCAAGAGCTTTGTTAAAGTTGTGTAGAGGGAGCTATCAAGCCACCTTGCCTAACTGACAAAATATAACCATATCAGTTAACTGAGTGTATGCATGTGCCACGTTTTGTGGGTCTAAATGCAACCCTTAGCCCTAAAAAAGTAATAATAATTGAAAAGCGCTATATAAGTCCCATGTATTATTATTTTTAATAATAATAATAGCTTGGATTTATATAGCGCCTTTCATGAGACCCAAGGGCGCTTAACAAAGAAGAACAGGGCAAAACAAACAAACAAAACAAAAGGCAGTCAGACAACCAGTCAGACAGACAAAACAACAAATAGATTAGGGGCCAAAGGCCTTAGTAAACAGATGGTTCTTGAGGGCCCTTTTGAAGGCATCACGCGTGGGGATGTTGCGGATCTCCGCAGGGAGAGCGTTCCAGAAGTACTATCTGTTCAAGCCGGTGAACGCAGACACACAACTTTCACTATCCAGCTTTCCCCATGTCTTACGGCTTTACTACATTTCAGAGAGATCTGCATAACCTAGGGGGAGCAGGAAGTTAAAGTACAAAACCTTAATACCTTCTTTTTACTATCTAGTAAAAGCAAAAGCAATCAAACAAAGAAAACACAACATCTGAAAACATTGTTCAGTTGATATCAGATTAATAACACCACTTTACCATATTAACATCTTTGTTCTTGACATTCTGTGACACTGTTTAGGATTTGGTCACAACTCACCCCTGATAGAAAACTATAAATCACACAACGAAATTCAAAAAGGGGGACGGTGAAGATTAACAAGGAGTCAGACAGTCAAAGGTTTGCTAAATCTGCTGCCGTCCAGCATCAAGCCTGACTGTCTAACACAAACCGGCTGTTATTTAAAAAAGGATTTAAATGCTTTAATTACGCCATTTATAAACCTCATTATGAAAGAGCTCTTCTCAGCTTCCTGTCTGGCCTTCCTTTCCTGCTCCATGTCTCTTTTAAGAGTTTCAATTACCATTTTCATTTCAAAGATAGTTTGTTGTTCATACTTCGCAAATATTTTCTTCTCCATTTTCTCCCACTCTAAGCGTATTTCCTCCTCTCTCTCTTTACGGATTCTCTGTTTCTCCTCTTCTAGCTCCCTCTCTGCCTCCTGGAACATTTCATTGGTGTAATGGCTTCCTCCGTTCTTCTCTGCTATATTTCTGATCTTGTCGAGCAGCTCTCTGACCTGAGAACGATCCTTCACCTTATTATTGAAGACGTGGTACTGCCCGTTACATCTAGCCACAAGTTCCTGCAGATCTTCACTTTCCTTCAAGAACTCTTCGATAGGTTTCGCTTTGAGCACATCACCGTGGGTAAAGAGGACCATGCTGTATCAGTCTGCATCTTTTCCAAAGATTTGCTGAATCTTCTGAACTGACTGCTTTTCTTCCTCTGTGAATCTGCCCAGTTTGATGACGATCAGGAAGATATGGGGTCCAGGAGAAGCAAAAACAATGCTCTGAACAATATATTTTCTGATCTTCTTTTCTTCAGTTCTGGTGTCAAACAGACCTGGAGTGTCAATGACAGCAACCTTTTGTCCATCCACTTCCCCAAAGGCCTTAGCACAGAGATTTAGGAGAAATCTCTGATTTAAAGTACTGTTTTCCCAGAATGGTGTTTCCTGTGGCGCTCTTCCCAGCTCCAGTTTTCCCAACGATGACAATCCGGACAGCCTTATCATTGTGGCCCGAGAATGTGTTGTGGCAGTTTGTAGAAGGTTGAGACGAACAGACTGAAAAACAGAAAGAAATTATTTATTGCTGTGTTCATACATTTTTGTTCTTTGCAGTACCACAAAATACCTTTGAGGTTCCAAATAGAACCTTTTATGGTTATAAAAATAAACCACAAGGACTGCCTGTCAGACCCTCTAACATCTGATATCCCCTCTCTTTGAAAATTAACACATTTACATTAAACCAAACAATATAATCTAAAATCACAACACATTAAATCAGAAGGATACCCAACTTGTGCAGGAGCATTGGCAGGAACACAGGGAATCACACAAGGGAAACATAAAACCACACATCAGGAACCAGAGGGGATCATAGACGACGTATCGAAAGCGAACAGACAAAGAAAACACAAAGACAGGAAGTAAAAACAGACATCACACACGGAGGTAAATGGACTGTACTTATAAATCTCTTTATCAGGTCTTCAGGACCCCTCAAATCTCTTAACACACTGCGAGTCATTCACCCATTCACACCTCATTCATGCAGAGCAGCACCACTTGCTCTAGGGAAGCTTGCACTCACACACACACACACACACACACACACACACACACACGCACACGCACACGCACATGCACATGCACACGCACACGCACACGCACACGCACACCCACACACACACACACACACACACCGTTGGCAATCAGGAGTAACTCAGGGATCAGTATCTTACCAGAGGAATCGTCGACATGTTGACTGTACGGGCTGGGCTCTAACCCACAACCTCCTGGTTGAAAGACGACCGCACTCCCAAGCAGCCAAAGTCGCAGGAACACTTTTCAAAAGCATACATGAGACGTGAAACACAAAAAACCAACAAGTCCTCCAACTAATACGACCAAATAGGCCGATTGTTCCGACCTATAATACGACCCACAGGAGCGATACGTTACGTTTGTTATGAACGTATCTCAAATACGTTTATTTTCTACATATCTTCTAGAAACATATTTTCTCCCACGTTACGTTTGTTATCAACGTATCTTAAATACGGTTATTTTCTACATATCTTTGCCATTTATTGTCTTGCTTATAATAATGATAATAGTAATTTAACAAATATCATTTTAGATTAAAATCAGTAGGCGAGGCTGTAATTTCGCCAGCTGTTACTCTCCTGAGCGAGGCAGAAAATAATAGTTGTATCATGCCAAAAAGCTGCTGTGTCGTTTATTGCACCTCAAACATTAAAACAAATCCAGAGTTACGTGTTTCTGTACTTCCTCTAAGAAGAAAGGACAGTAAAAGAAGAGCTCTGTGGCTTCAGGCTTGATCGCCGTTCAAATGACAGCGTTGGTTTCCCCAAAAGTGGGCGGGGCTGTAAAGTGACGTAGATTTCACTCTCATCTATTATTCAAAACCATTCTATTTATTCTAACGTAAATTACATGCCAGTGTTTTATCTTTTTATTTAGCGATTTGTTTATGTTTAACTGGGAATGTTTTTACAGGAACAATACCGGAAACAGACAAGATCCTCAGCTCGTGATTGGATTGTTTAGCCGCAATGCACATTGGGAGATGGTGTTTATGCGATGTGAAATCCGAAAACATTAAAAAAAATAATAATAATACTTTATTCCGAGTGTTCTTGCTTTTCTCTTTGGAGGTCATCACATAACGGCATTGTAATACACGGTTCGGCTGCATTAAATATTACATATCTGCCGTAGATATTTATTTATAGAGCCCTGATCAGAAGACCTTTGGACAAACAGGAAGCACTGCCGCCAAAACTGAAAACGTGACGTGGATCATAAATATATTAGCAATTAAACAACATCTTACATTTCTTTTCACACAATACGTCTCCTTGCAGTATCAACACTAATTCGGCTGACTTTTATATTTGATCCAATTGGTAGATAGGCTGTATTTACACCATAACGGTGCACAGCTGATAGAAAGGGATTTTTTTTGTAGTTTTTTAAAGATATTATTTACTGAAACTACCTTTCCAACTCCTCATGCAGTTGACTGTTACAGGTCTATACAGGTTCATGGTACAATGCATAAGCTTCAAATCGAGAGACTGAAACTGTATTTTCCTTTAGCGTTCTGTTTTAATTTCACAATAAAGTTAATAGTCATATTATGTTTGATATTATTATGTTTTATTAACTACACCACTGTTTTTTTAACCTGCACCACCTAGTGGTTAAAGCACGTTATTGAATTTTGATGTTGAATAAGTTTTATTTTATGAAAACATTTAAATATTAAGAGTAGCCTACATACAAAATTGGGGGAAAGTAGAAGGCATGATAGAAATATAGAATAGATCATATCAAGAAGATACTGTAGTGATCTCTACAATAAAACAGTTTAGTGCAGGATGTCCAAAGATATTAACAGGAGGATGTGCAAAACAGACAAACTAATAAGGCTTTATTTAAACATTAAAGAATACTTTAAGTTAAGGGCTTCTTTTGAATAAGAAAAAAACGTTGGGGTTATCAACAGATTAATATGAAGTCTGACAAAGTACTTAACCTCTTAAGCCCTGAGCCTGTTTTTCAGGTCTCAGGCTCGAAAATGACATTCCCAGAACAAATGACCATATCTTCCCTTCTAAAAGGGTTAAATTAATAATCTTTGTTCTCAAAGTAATGATAAACCAGTGAGTTGGATGTAGAAAAGTCAGAATCAATATAGATGTTTTTTATTTTAAAGAAAATTCAGATTTTACATAGTAAAAAACTGTAAATTATAGTGTCCGTCCAAAAATAATTTTTTACTTATAGTGAAAACTACCCTTGGATGATGGGTTAGTAGACTAAAAGCTTTAGGAATCCAAAGTACAACATATAATAAGTACCCTGTATCAAGATTGATGCAAAACAAGTGAAATTTGACCTTTTTAGAGAGATTTAGCCAAAAACCCCCACTTCTGGTGTCATTTGGGTGGATTTGACCTATCTCTGGCCCCCCTTGCTCGATTTTGATGAATGAAATCTCTTTATAACCGCTAGAGCCAATGGAATCGAGGGAAAGTTATATACACACCAAAACGTTAACAAATAAGGAGTGAGAGTGACGCGTTACCAAAACCGGAAGCTGCATACACTCTGGTGGCTACCATTAGCAGCTAACTTTTCCGCTCCGATTTTTACATAAAAAATGGAATTATGGATTATAAATAATTTTTTAAAAGGTACAGGTACATTATCAACCTATGGATCAACAGTTGTAGATATTTTTTTTTTCGTTTTAATGCCATTGAACATGTCTTTTGACCTAATTGACAGCTACGGTGAGACGATCTGCCGTAAAAGCTCCGTAAAGGTACGTGTTGTGATGTCTGTGTTTGCTTCCCCTGTCGCAGGTTCGGATCGCTCAGTGATGATACTATACCTAAATAATCAGTGGAGTCTCAGCTTTAATATGCTATATTGTATGTGCAGCTACGATAAGTAATAAGGGTATCTTTATCTTGAATTGTGTGCCGCAGTGCGTTAGAATTTTTTCGCTCAGGGGTCATTTAGACCCTTCTTATGAGACTTGTGTTTTGTTTTGGTAAAAATGGTTCATATCTTCAGTTAGCTGAGATTCTTCCCGTTAATCTGGTGCTACACATTAATAGTTTCATAAATGTTAAGAAGCCCTGAGACATTATCTCGAAAACAAAAAGGTGGGAGGGGTCCAATGGGGGGACCGCCGTGCTTAAGAGGTTAACGTCTAATATATTGCATAGTTTATTTTGGCACTTGACAATCACCTTTCCTGAATTTGACTCAGGTGTAACTAAAGTCTGATTTAAGGGTTGTTTATATTTCACATCATTAATCAGAATCTGCAAAATAACTCAAATAAATGTAGTGGAGTCAAAATACCAGGTTAACCTCTGAATTGTAGTGGAGTAGAACAAAGTAGTATGCTGCTGTAACAAAAACATTTCCCAACTTGGGATCAATAAAGTATATCTTATCTTATCTTTTCTTAAGATGATCGATGGCTACTGCCATATTTGCAAAATTTGCCTCTGAACCTTGACAAGTGCATGTTTCAGGCTTATCAATGAACAACAGGAGGGGTCACAGACATAAGACCAGCTGTTAAATAAAGCTCTTCTGACCTTAGGTGTCATGTGGGTATATTAATTCATCCATTTATTAATTATATGTTTTAAATTTGATAACACCACTGTGTTTCGTATCCCCTAAACCTCCAGGGTGTACACAGTTTAATACTGGCCACTTCTAATTGTGGGAAATACGAAAACGTCTTATAAAGAAACGCGAGGGGGGGGGGAGGCTGGACCCGGGGGCTGGACCCGACCAATTCCAGTTTGGATAGTCTGCCGTGGTTCCATTCCATTTCATAGAGCTGTTTGACGCTCAGCGTAACCTTGTCGCACTGCCACTCCAACATCCAATCACAGGGCTTGATGACTAATCACGGGGTTGTAAAGCAAGGCGGATGTTGTAGTCCCAAACGATAGCTGGGGATTCTGGGTCGTGTAGTGTCTTCGGAAACTGTAGTGTCTAAACTCCGAAAAAACTATTTGTTTCTCTGAATCGAAGGTTAAAAACTCAAAAGCATTGTACACAATTTAAACCAATCAATATTGTGTAATTAACAAGGATAAACTGATGTGTTTTAGTGGATGAGTAATGCAGTTATCACTGTGTAATCATTTGACAGTGAGGGGAATATATCCGGTTTTATTATGAAAACTTCGAGACCGGAAAAACTGTTTTCACCCACGCTAACTTTACATGGAAGCTGCATACACGTTATCCTGGCGAGACCTCAAATTATCTTCGTAATATCTATCAAACTATAGATCCTACACATCGACTGGACGTGGATTCTAAGAGTACAATATACACTTCTCGCCAGAAATCGAATCAAAAAGCATTTTAACCTGTTAAGCACCAAGCCTGTTTTTCATGTTTCAGGCTCGAAAATGACATGCCCAAAACAAATGACTACAACTTAACTTCTAAAAGGGTTATATGAATAATTTCTTTTATCAAAGCAAGGTTACATCTGTGAGTTGGATGTAGAAGTGTCAGAATCAATATAAATGTTTTTTATTTTAAAGAAATTCAGATTTTACATAGTAAAAAACTGTAAATTATAGTGTCCGTCCAAAAATAATTTTTTACAGATAGTGAAAACCACCCTTGGATGATGGGTTAGTAGACTAAAAGCTTTAGGAATCCAAAGTACAACATATAATAAGTACCCTGTATCAAGATTGATGCAAAACAAGTGACATTTGACCTTTTTAGAGAGGTTTAGCCAAAACCACCCCACCTCTGAGGTGATTTGGGTGAAAATGGTTTTTTTTCTATATCTCTGGCCCCCCTTGCTCGATTTTGATGGTTGACACCTCTTTCTGACCATTAGAGCCAATAGAATCGAAGGGGGAGGCCCACACACACACTCATTGTGAAGAGAAAAGGTGGGGGCTGCGCGCATGTAAATGTAAAGCAGAGTGGAGCTACATTCTAGCTCTGGCATTTGGAAACAAAAAAGCAGTTTTATTGCTTATGGATTATCAGAAATCATTTCAAAGAGGACACAGACACATAGGATGAACCTATGGATTAACTGCAGCATCGTTTTTTTTATGTTTTAATTGCCATTGAAGACCAGTTTTGACCAAGGTAAGCCATGTTAGCGTTTCTAGCTACTTAGCTCCACATGTTATGATGTACGCTTTCGTTTATAGCGTCGCAAATGTTTATCACTGAGTGTTGAGGTGGGCACCCACAGATTCAGTGTCTCCAGGACACCAAAAACGAGTGGTTGGCTGTGCATCTAGGATAAGTAATAAGGGAGTTATTGTGAGTTTAAGTGCCGTTTTACGGGTTATTTGTGAATAAACGTCCCTCCGGAGCGTTTGCAATGAACGGGCCGGGAGCATGTTGTTTCTTACACGACCACTAGAGGTGCTCTCGTGTAAGAAACAACATACACTTTAAAACGTGTTTCTGAGTCAAGAAAATCTATGAAGACAAATTATGATACTAACCCCATTTTAAGGCCATGTGTCTTGCAAAATCACACATACACAAATTAAAGATCAATTTATATTAATATAATTATGAACTGATGACACATTTTGACCAAATAAGAAGGGAAATGAAAGTAAGCACACTAAAGAACAATAATAGTTTACAAATAAGTCCTTGATCATCAAATTACTGATGAAAAACAATGCAAAAAGTGAATGCACAAATATTCAAAAAGTCACCTGTGTCACCGATAGATAAAGGATATAAAAACATGTTGATCCTGACCTACCGTCTTTGGTAATAAAGCCTTCCATTATTGGATTGTAGAGAGCAGATGTGCTGGTTTACAGTGAGGTAAGGACAGAAAGTTAAGAGACTGTTTGAAACAATTCCTTTTGTATGAGCTACATGCAGCAAACCACACCCAATACAGACTGGGTGTGTACGTGTTATTTTACAGGCTGTTTTATCCTTTGAGACTAAATCAAAAAGGTTGAGCAAACTTAGTCTTTGAGTGATGTTCTTTAATTAGTTTTAAATGCAGTACTGTCTTTATATGTACAAGAGAAATTACATGTTTTGCTGAATGTATTCTTCAGTGTTTTTAGTCATGTCAAGTATTTTTTATTCGTATATCCCATCAAATTCCCCAAAAAACCTTAATGGGGTGACAAAGTTATACATAGCAAACACTAATAACTTTTCTACATGTTGATATGTCGCTTTATTCAAAATGGTTTTAATGTAACGTACAACAGATCTACACAGTCTACACATAAAACACAAGAAAACCATTATTTTCGGATAGAGACACCTACATAAAGTAGCATAACAAATTGAAGTGTTGCATTTAATCTGCATTTCACTTTACAATCTTTTACATGTGTTGTGTTTTTTCTCAGCTCTTCAATGATCGTTGGAATTTGTTGATTCACGCCCTTTATTGTTCTGTTTTTAGCACAGCTTGAATATCCAGTCCACCTGCATGTACATTCTTCATTTAGAGAACTATAGACAGCGAACCCAGTTCACCCTCCCTTCAGCATTTACAAGAAATGCCACCTGTTCTTTTAAAAGCCACAACAAAAAAATGCATGTACAGAGTGGAGCCAGCTCTTTGGATGTTTGCTCTTAGTTTCTCTTCACGACAAGATGGCAAATTTACATGTGTACATATTATTCTGTAGTATTACAAGATTGTAAACCATCAAAACATTTCTAAATTGGACCTTCAACAGGACTGCTGTAGCCTCATATAAACTTGAGCTGAAAGATAGTAACACTTTAGCTTGTATTGAACATTGTAATACACATTGTAATGGGTTGCTTCTGGTTAATTAAGATGCCGATGGAATGATTATGGTGACTTATTACTCTCTGAATGCATATGGCGTGTGAGTGTTGCATTAAGATAGACTTTTATAAAACATTGGACTACATCTTTCGTATTTAGTATTATGGTATTAAAATCACCCATATAAATATTTATTTAATTTGATGGGATATTTATTTTAAGGTTATTTGGGTAGAAAAGAAAGCTTCTACACACATTGGCCTACACGTTGAAAGAAAAAAATCAAACAATAAAATTGAATCACTCATGCATTAAGTTACTGCTAGTATTACAAATGAGACCCAATGAGAAAACCAAAGAACAGGAATTTATGAATATTAATAAGTCATAACATTGGTTGGATACCGTACAGTTAAGCATCACAAGGCCAAATTGTTTATTTGAAAAACATTTGAAATACCACTTTCACAAATTCAATAAGCTGTTGGATTAATGCAGTGTTGCTTTTCCTTTTCTCCTCCTTTTCTTTTTCCTGAGTTACTACTATAGTTACTATAACCCTGATCACCATCTCCCTCTCTGCCCTCTGGAACATTTCTGTGGTGTGATGGCTTCCTCCGTTCTTCTCTGCTATGTTTCTGATCTCCACCTTTCCTCCGTCACTTTTAAGAGTTTCAATTACCTTTTTCAACCCCTGTATTTCATCTTTCATTTCCTTTTCTTTTTCCTGAGTTGCTATAACCCTGATCAACCTCTCTCTGTCTGCCTTTGCTTCCCGGAGTTGTTGCACGTACTTCTCCTCTCTTTTCTTCTCCAGTTCCTCCACCTGTTTGGGCATGTCATGCATCTCTTCTCTAAATCTCCTCATCTCCTCCATTTCTCTTCCACGAGTTTCAAGTAGCTTTTTCGACCTCTCTCTGTCATCTTTCACTTCCTTCATTTGTTGCTCATACTTTTCCGATATTTTCTTCTCCATTTCCTCCTTCTCTTTGCGCATTTCCTCTTCTCTCTCTTTAAGGATTCTCTGTTTTGCCTCTTCTAGCTCCCTCTCTGCCCTCTGGAACATTTCATTAGTGTAATGGCTTCCTCCGTTCTTCTCTGCTATATTTCTGATCTTGTCGAGCAGCTCTCTGACCTGAGAACGATCCTTCACCTCATTATTGAAGACGTGGTACTGCCCGTTACATCTGGCCACAAGTTCCTGCAGATCTTCACTTTCCTTCAATAACTCTTCGATAGTTTGGTCTTCGAGCAGATCACCGTGGGTAAAGAGGACCATGCTGTATCTGTCTGCTTGCTCTCCAAAGATTTCCTGAATCTTCTGAACCGACTGCCTTTCTTCATCTGTGAATCTGCTCAGTTTGATGACGATCAGGAAGATATGGGGTCCAGGAGAAGCATAAGCAATGCTCTGGCCAACATCGTTTCTGGTCTTGTTTTCATCAGTGCTAGTGTCAAACAGACCTGGAGTGTCAATGACAGCAACCTTTTGTCCATCCACTTCCCCAAAGGCCTTAGCACAGTGTACGGTCAGAGATTTAAAAGAAAAATCTGATTTAAACCACTTATGTCCCAGAATGGTGTTTCCTGTGGCGCTCTTCCCAACTTTAGTTTTCCCAACCATCACAATCCGGAGTGCCTTATCATTGTGGTAGTATGTATCGCCCGAGTATGTGTTGTGGCAGTTTGTAAAAGGTTGAGACGAACAGACTGAAATAAAGAAAAAAACGATTTATTGATGTCTTCATACGTTTGTTACAAACACAATTGTTTACCTTTGAGGTTCCAAATAGAACCTTTTATGGTTATACAAATAAACCACAAGGACTGCCTGTCAGACCCTCAAGCATCTGATATCCCCTCTCTTATTAATTAACATATTTACATCAAACCAAACAATATAATATAAAATCACATCACATTAAATCAGAAGGAAACCCAACTTGTGCAGGAGCATTGGCAGGAACACAGGGAATCACACAAGGAACAAATAAAACCACACATCAGGAACCAGAGGGGATCATAGACAGAGATGGGGTCGTTACTAAAAAAAAGTAATATATTACATATTACATATTACTTTAAAAAAAAGTAATATATTACACTACTTCGTTACTCTCTACATAAAGTAACTCGTTACTTTACTCGTTACTTTACTCATTACTTTACTCGCAGGGCCGGCCCGCCCCTCCCTACAGGCAGATCACGCAGACTGCTAAAGTTTCAAATGTTCTCTTTAGTTCAGTTTCCATTGTCGCATAAGACTGATCCAGATAGCTCTGACTATGGCTGTCCTCTGTCTCCTGCTATCTGTATTTTGCGCAGTATATCTCTGAACGATGCGATGGTGATTCCACTGTGCAAATGGGCAACATTACCTCTACTATGAAGGATGCTACAAGCCTGTCCATCTCTGCTTTGGTTACCGGTCCTCCAAATTCTAATTTGTGCTGCTTCGGAGTCGGCGGCGGCGCACTCACAACATCCTCACTCTGGGTTCGGGGGTCCGGTCCTTAGCTATTAGCTTCACCTTAGCATGTGTTCTTTGCAGGTGTTTGTTGAGGTTTGACGTGGTGTTTGCAGCAGTGGATAACAGCTTCTGGCCTGGACACAGTTTGCACCTCACCGTCACATTCCTGTCTATTCTTCGGACGAACTCAAAATAATGGGCATACCTCCACCCCTCGAAAGTTATCGCTGACTCAGCCATGTTTATGCAGCACTGCACGTGGAGATGTGGACGCGCAAGTCGCGCAGATTACGTACATATAAACCTGCGGCGGAAACCCCTCTTGTCTGTCAGTGTGATTATAACTGATTTTATAAAAGTAACGAAGTAACGCGTGTCGGGGCAATGTTAGTAACTGTAGTGTGATTACTGAATTATAAAAGTAACGCGTTACACTACTCCGTTACCGACAAAAGTAATATTATTACTTTTGTATTATACACCCAACTCTGATCATAGACGACGTATAGAAAGCGCACAAGGGAAGACATATATCAGACAAACAGGCGGGAAAACACAAAGACAGGAAGTAAAAACAGACATCACACACGGAGGTAAATGGACTGTAGTTATAAATCTCTTTATCAGGTCTTCTGGACCAATCAAAAAAGCTCAAAGCTCTTTACACACTGCGAGTCATTCACCCATTCACACCTCATTCATGCAGAGCAGCACTACATGCTCTAGGGAAGCTAATACTCACATACTCACACACACACACACACACACACACACACACACACACACACACACACACACACACACACACACACACACACACACACACACACACACACACACACACTCACACACCGTTGGCAATCGGGAGCAACTCAGGGTTCAGTATCTTACCCAAGGAAACGTTGACATGTTGAAAGACGACCGCACTCCCAAGCAGCCAAAGTCGCAGGAACACTTTTCAAAAGCAAAGAAGACACGTGAAACACAAAAAACATAATCATGACAGACACATGCATGATTCCAGACGTCCCTGATAATACGGTCAAAATAGTCCAGCAGGGTGGTTGGAGGGGGGGGGAATGACCATGACATATAGGAGAGTAGCTGGAAAGGGGCATAGGAACTCGGGCAGACAGCCTTAGATTGAAACCGTTGTGGAGCAAATGCCGTAAAAAGAGGAAGGCAGGTATATACACAAACAGCACGTTTTTATTTAAGAAAATCTGATAACAAATAAAGTTTAACACCAAAACAGGGGAACCCGGCAAGGTCAAACAGAACAAATTAAAACAAATGATGATACTAACCCCATTTTAAGGCCATGTGTCTTGAAAAATCACACACACAAGTTAAAGATACATTTGTATTAATATAATTATGAACTGATGACACATCTTGACCAAATAAGAAGGGAAATGAAAGTAAGCACACTAAAGACCAATAATAGTTTACAAATAAGTCCTTGATCATCACATTACTGATGAAAAACAATGCAAAAAGTGAATGCACAAATATTCAAAAAGTCACCTGTGTCACCGATAGATAAAGGATATAAAAACATGTTGATCCTGACCTACCGTAT